AAGGCTTAGGTCCAAAGAATATTCAACAAGAATGAGTGTCTTCAAATAAGAGTTCTTTCAACGTCAAACCACTAGCCAACAGTAATGGCCAATTTCATCTGAAGTTTTGAGAAAGTTATTCATGTTTCACAATCATTGCAGAAAGCACTTACCCTCAGGAGCCTCGGGCTCCCTGTTGGCTTCATTTTGCTTTGCTTTTTGTTTGCTTAGAAGTTTTTGGTCCTCTCCCTCAATATAAGCATGCTTGTCATTACATGTACTGGAAAAGAATGAGACTCATTTCAGGTACTACACAAGGTGTCAAAACAATGAGCTTCCTATCACAAATGCCAGGAAGAAGAAAAATCTCTCTCCCAGCTCCCTTCTTCCTTGTTTACAACACTAAGCTTTCTTCCCCTCCAAACCACACATTTTCTTTTTCTCCATTCCTCTTCAAGCTCACTTTTCACCTTAATCTTTCTAACTCTCTCCAGATGTCTTTCAAGCAAGATTTTTCCCCACCCTGCTCTTTCCAGTTTCTTTCCCACTGCCTGTTCTCTTCTAATGCGCCAGGGACTCTCGGCACTTAATTGTAGTTTACGGCAGACAGAGCCGCATATTAATTGCCATGAGAAATAAGCACACATCAAAAGGAATGGGAAAAGAGAAAGAGAGATGCCCTGCACGCCTTACACATCCACGGAGTGCATGAGTGAGCAGGGTAAGAGCAGGTACTACCTGCAGACGCCCTTGTTACCAGTCCCTCTGCCTGTTCCAGCTTGGTGAACTTCTCTGACACTCTGCCTTTCAGTCCTCAGCTTCGTTGCCCCAGTTACAGCGTAGCTGGTGCTTGGAAACAGAAATTCCCTCCTCCCTCTCTTCCCCCAGCAGAAAAAACCCAGCCCCTTTCAGCACAGTGTTGCACCAAGCTGTGGTCAGGGAGATTCAGTGCTGGGACCAATGAGCAACTGTACACGTTCATTTTACCTCTTAGAAGCTACTCAAAATGTAGCCCTAAGACATCAGAGATATTGATATTTGTATGAAAACACTGCACACAGCAAGGGAGCTTCCTGAACAATAAAGGCTTTATAATCCCAAATTTCTTAGGAAGAATTAGAAAAAAAAAAAAAATATTCAAAATCTTGAACCCAAACATCTCCACCACTTTTCCACCATTCCGAATCAAACTCCCTGACGATCCAAAGGCAGCAGGTGGGACACTTGTACTCCTAATTCCTCTAAGTCTGCTTGTATGCATTTGCCTTCCACTCACAGTCATCACTATGGCCTGAAAGACACCCCCATCAAATTTCTTCACAAACAGGAATTATTGCCATCTGACACGCAATCTAGCACACCCCCCTTACACCCACCCTCAAGAGAGGCCTTGTACGTGTTCTGGCAACACAGCAAGCCTTCCATTTTATCTCTCCCAACATCTTTGGATACTACTTTTCATGCTGTTTTCTCTAAACTGTGAGAATGGCTGATATCCCTGATTTAACAGCACTGTTTTCCTTATATCTTGACCTAATACTAAATACAAATGGAACATTGTTCCTGCCTGGCCACAAGTGTAAGTTCCTACCATAAACTAAACTGCTCTTTAAACACAAGCCAAAAGCGTTGGGTACAGAACCAGGGCTGCTAATGCTGGAGCTGGGAATTGCTCAGCTATTGTGTGCGGTAACTCCAAATACTTCAGTGCTGGTTTGCAACATGAGTATTTTCCTGCTAATTCAAGCTGATGCTGGCACCACGACAAGCTCAATTAAGCAACAGTTATAGCAACTATTGTTCCTCTGCGCACAACAACTCGTATACATATACATGCATGCCCTTTGAAGTTAAATAAATTACCTGTGCTCCTTAGGAAACATTAAAACCAGTTATTTTACATAGAAAGAGAATATATGTGAACTTTTAGCAGAATAAAGAATTATGCATAGCAGGAGATTAATTTACTACGATGTACAAGGCTATCTCCAAAACCACAGCTACAGCATATTTTGAATACAGCCAGAAATTTAAAATCTCCTATATACTTCTAAACTTGGTGGAGGAATTAAATTTTCTAGTGCGATTATCACTGGATCATGTCACATTGTAATTCTACCAGTTAGCTTTTTCCTAGGCTTACAGTAATATATATATATAAAAGCAACAAATTGAAGTTTAATTTTGTATGCGCTAGTCTACTAAGAATACCAACACACTATGCACTTGAATAATGTGAGATATAAACACTTTAACAGTTCAAGCAAATAAACTTGCCTTCACCATACTCTTCTTGAAGGTATCTTGTGTTGGGTTTTTACAGTCCATGGTCCGAATTTGTATTAATATGCAAATCGCTTACATCCTCCCTCTGCACAGATCCTTTTATCTGCAGAGCTCATTGAAATCAATACCTCAAAGACTCTTGAAATCAGCACCTCAAAGACATATCAGAGCTCTGACAGTCTGATGTTAAAACCCCCACATTTTATAAAACCACTCTTTGCGTTATAAGAGCAGCACACTCCAAATTACATATGCTATTTATTTTGTTGCCTTTAAAAAATAATCATTAAACCATTGTGGTTAAGTTTTGCAATACTCTCATAGGTGGCACAAATCAAAAAGAGTGATTAAAGGAGTCATGAGAAACACTAGTATTTTACTAATTTCTGACTGTAATTTACAGCATGAAAAATTCTATGTAGCAAAACCTGGGAATTCACTGAGGCTTCACGCTTGCGTGTAATGTCATCATGGCTCTGGAAAGTGGCAAGACCAAACCATCGTGCAACACACCACACCAAGCATTATTTCTGAGAGGAACAGTCCCATCTGCCTGCCACCACTCCGTCACTTGCTCTTGCTCAGCATAGGCCTTCTAATCTCAGCACAAGCACTGGGATGCTGTAGGCTGCACTGATCTTGCTGAAAATCCAGCTGAATTTTTGAAGTAATTATTCCTCACAAAGAACAGTTCCCCAAACAGGTTTGCCACACGGCCACCCAAACACCCATGGAGGCAGCAGGACGAGGCGGAAATGTGTGGGTACAAATAACCAGAGACAGGGGGAAGGTGGCTATGCCAGCTGAAGTGTTTCACAGCCGCTGTTCCAGTACACCACGCAGCACGGCTGCCCGAACAGTCACAATTCACTGCAAGCTGCCTTCGCAGCCTCCCACTCCCATGGCTGCAACCTCTCTAGCTGGGACTGGCGGGATTACAGACACGCATGTGAGCAGTGCCCGGCACACGGAGTTGTGAGGCGCAGCTCAAAAGCAAAGCGGCAAACCCCCCCCCCAGCCACTCCTCCCGCCCAAACTGCACGGCTACCGAACATACCCTCATTTTCAATCCTTAATTCAAAAAAGGTCAAGGCTGCGTGTCCTAAAGCCACACAAAACCCTGGGACAGTCCCTGAGGGCGCCCAACCCCAGCGGCTGAGGCAGGGCCCGGGGGGTGAAGGGCAGGACGGGAGGGAGGACACTGAAGGGCACAAAAGAGAAATAAGTAAGAGCCTCTAAAGCCCCGGCGGGCTGTGGAAACCTGCCTAACCCCTTCCCCGCTGAAATCCCCACTGCCGTGCCTGTGCCACGGCACGC